CACAGAAATCTTCCTGAATATTCGTCAATAACAGATCTAAATAGCAATTTTGCTGATTTTTTATATGATTTATCTGGTTAAGACCTAAACAAGCAGTTGTGACAAAAATAAACTGAAGTGTTTCATTTTCCCCAACGATTGGAAGTAAAATAAAGGGTGTCCACGATGAAATTGCCACACTATGAAATTGCTCTAACTTTTTAACCGTTAGGTAGAATTTAATGAAAATTTGGGTGGATTTAGTACATCCTGCAAGTTTTAAAGTCCTGTGATCAAAACTCGCGGAAATGGAGTCGAAAGAACAGCTCGTGCGTGATAAAATCTTGCGCATTCATCACGAGAACAAGGATCTCTCGCATCGTTCCATCGCTAAAACGTTGGGAATCGCGAATTTCACGGTGTCGCGAGTGATTAAGCGGTTTGAGGAACGGTTGACCACCGATCGGAAGCCCAGAAGTGAAGGAAAAAGTATTCCGTACAACACCAAAAATCACAACCGCGTAGTTGGGGCCTTCAACCGAAGGCCAAAACTAAGGCTGGGCTTCGAACGTTCAAGGTACAAAAGGCCCCTAATCGCGACGAGAAGCAGAACAAGTCCGCCAAAACCCGTGCCAGGAAGTTGTACCTCAACATGCTGACGAAAGTTGAATGCTGCATCATGGACGACGAAACATATGTGAAGGCCGACTTCAAACAGATCCCCGGCAACCTGTTTTTCACGGCCAAGGATAAGTTCAGCGTTCCGGAGCATGTCCGCACTCAGAAGATGTCCAAATTTGCGAAGAAATTCCTGGTTTGGCAAGCCATCTGCACGTGCGGGAAGCGGAGTGCACCTTTCGTGACGCAGGACACGATGAACGGACAGGTGTACATAAAAGAGTGCCTCCAGAAGCGGCTGCTTCCTCTCCTGAAGGCCCACAACGTCCCAACAATCTTCTGGCCGGATTTGGCCTCATGCCACTACTCCAAGGACGTGCTGAAGTGGTATGCGGACAATAAGGTCAATTTCGTGCCGAAAATGTTCAACCCTCCCAACACTCCGGAGCTCCGCCCCATCGAGAAGTACTGGGCGATTATGAAGCAGCACCTTCTTAAACGACCTAAGGTAGTGAAGACAGTCGAGGAACTGAAGAAAGTATGGGTTTACATGCAAAAAACGGTTGATTCACAGGTTGTGCAGAATCTTATGGCCGGGGTTAAGGCCAAGGTGCGGGCATTTGCGTATGGACTGTAAATAAAATACGAGTAAAATGGTAAAATGAAGTTTAATAGTTATTTCTCAATCCCTGAAAATTTGATGGCAATCGGATGAAAACTCGAATTTTGCGAATCAATTTTGTGTGTGGCAATTTCATCGTGGACACCCTTTAGTATCATTTTCAGAGTCTGGAATGAAGTCAATAGTACGTTGGTTAAAGTCTCCATAAATATGAATTTTTACTTCAGGCCGAAGACTAGCTGTAATTTCTTCAGCTATATTTAAAAACTTTTCATATGTTTCTTTACGGGCATTGTTGGGGGGGGGGGGGGGACATACACCGAGCCAAATATGTGTGTTTCACCAGCCATATGCTCTTTCACCCATACATGTTCAAATTCTGTAAACTTTGTAGCTGCGATGATTTCAGCATTAAATTTTGTAGAAATAGCTATAAGAACTCCACCTCCTGACTTCTTTTCCGACGAATGCAAATCACGGTCATCCCTAAAAACATTGTAATTGTTTCCGAATACTTCCTCACTTCTAACACATTCGTCCCAACTAGTTTCAGTACCGAAGTTTTGGCAATATACTATAATTTCACTTGACTCTAGTTGAGAGGAGGCTGTAAGAACTGCCTCAGTTGTAAAATTTGGTTGGCTTTGAACTAACGTATCGTTATAGCTATTAGTATAAAAACTATTTACCATTCCTTCAAGCTGTTCGGAATTCGTCAAATTGGATAAAATGTATTGTTCCTCGGGTTCGGTAGTGCTATGGTTGATTGCTTCCTCTACGAAGTGCGTCAATGGCGCCGAAAACACGAGTGTTGCGCATAGCATGCCTCACGTAATGAAGTAGAAGCACATCCAGGTTTCGTCCAGTTGGGTTGATTGCCGTGATTAGGTTGAAATTCGTCAGTGTATGGATTCAAAATGTCTCCTCGCTGAAACTGTATGGGCCGGAGGCTGCTTGATACATCGAACGTTGACTGTGGTGGCTTAGAGAATCTCTCTTTTGCTGCCGCTAGAAGAATCCTGTCCGGTGGGAGAAGGCGGTTGCGACCTCCGTCATTGTTGCAGTTATTATTGCTGTGATTGTTGTTGTTGACGTAATCATTCCTTCTGTTCAGGTGAGTGGCAGTGTAGTGAGCATGGTTGTTGATATTTTTGCGTGCCTGATTTTTTCGCTTTCGTGCTTTTTCAGCTTGTTTTTGCTGATTTAATTTATACAGTTTACGATTATCGTATTCTGTCCAGTCAGCTTTCCATACCTTTCTGGAACCAAGAAGGCGCCAGCCTGAGTGATCTATCGCCTGTATACTGTTAATGTCGTTCAACTCGTATTCCAACGAGTCAACTGATTTTGGAGTGCAATTTTTGATTTTGGAATTATTTGTTTCATATCGTCATTCAAATATTTCAGGTCATCGCCTATACCTGTCATCATTGAGTTCAAATGACAAATGATCTTAAAGATAAAGCACTTAGAAGCTCTTGTATTTTCATGAGAAAATACGAGGAGTGCTTTACCGGTCTCATAGAGCGAATAGCCTCGACAGTACTGAGACTATCAATAAAAATAATGTGATGAAATCTGATGAAATTCGTTATAAATACCAAAACCAACGGACGCCTCTATTAATGACCCATCTGTGAAGAACGATCTTGCCGAATCAACTTGGCCATACTTTGCAGCATAAATTGACGTAACAATCATGGAACGATGATGTTCTGGGATCCCACGAATCTCCCGCGTCATAGATAAGTCAAAACTAACTGAATTGCCGAAGTCGGAGAAGCGTACACGATGAGGATTATGCTGTGAAGGGCTGACATCCTGTGTTATGTACACGTAGTACAATGATATAAAACGAGTTTAAAGGTTTAGCTCAAGAAGCTTCTCAAAGTTTTCGATTAACAGTGGGTTCATAACTTCACAACGGGTGAGGAACCTGAGGGACATTCCGAAAACCGATTAGAGAGTGGAAACATGCCCGCTAACACTTCAAGACTTACCGTATGAGTGGAGTGCATCGAAAAAAGCTCTCGAAAATGATAAGTGGTCAAGGCATCCCACTGGATACACATACCACATTTGACGAATTCAGAAAAAAAAAGTTGTTGAATATTACATAAAAATTGCTGCACATTAGTCATTCCATTCCTAATATTACGTTGTACGATGTACACAGAATTCGAGAACAAATCATGTTGATGACTATATTATACTATTAACTTTTACCAGTTGTTGATGTTCAATACTTCACCATGAATTTCATTGAATGATATATATTATATTTTTTTGCTGTGTACACATTTAAGTGATGAGCGGTGGCAGAAAGGGCACCAATTAGTGTTGCATTACCTCGTTTAAAAACTTTCCAGCAAAAGAAAAAGCACACTAAACAAACAAACAAAATCCCTAAAAAAAAGTCATAGCGTCTCTGAATTTTTCCTACGGATCCGTATTTCTGCAGAATTCAATCAATTCTATAGATCTACGGAAAATTTCGTCTTCTTTCATTTATTTAACGTCGGTCTCTGTTCCACAATCTAGTGCCAATCACCGACGGACATCGATTGCCATCCATTGACAGCAATCGAATGTTCAGAAAGGCAGCTTCGACACCTGCGTAGGATATCGCACCCATTCAACACACATGGGCCGGGACCAACGGCTTTACTTCCCTTCCGAAGGAAGACGTGACCAGAGATTTTTATGCCTCAGAAAAATCCCAACGACCTCTACTGGGATTGAACCCAGACCCATTGGGGTGTTAGAAAGCAGTCACGCTTACCACTACACCACCGGCGCCGGCGAAAATTTCGTAGAACCGACATCACTGACTTCCATCTGTTTTGTTTTTATTCAACACAGCTGACGCGTTGACAGAACGAGGGAAAAGCAACTAGTGTAAAAATTACATGAACGAGGGATTCTCCGATTGCAAAACATTGCTTGGGAGTGTGGATGATAGATGGTGCTAGTGCGCATGCAGAATAAGAAATAAGAAATGAAGAAGACATCAATATATTCCGGAATGAAATACACATATTCTACATATGGTGCAAAAAAAGTCTACTAGAATTGAATGTAAAAAAATGTAACTAAATATCATTTAGTAGAAAAAGAACAACTTCAAACATTTCAATTGCATTAGGAAATCAAACTGTAGACAAATGTGAAAGAGTTAGGGATTTAGGAATTATCTTAGACTCTAAGCTAACTTTCATAGACCATTACAATACAATTATTCACAGGGCAAATAACATGCTAGGCTTTATCAAGCGCTTTTGCTATAACTTTCAGGACCCTTACACAATTAAAACACTATATATTGCCTATGTCAGGTCAATACTGGAATATTGCAGCATTGTATGGTCTCCATTTTCAATCACGCACGAAGAAAGATTAGAATCAGTACAAAAACAATGTCTATTATACACACTCAGCGACGATTTGCGTGTTCGGTAATTTTTTACCGGAAAAAATCTGTAAACGCAGAATATTACAGATTTTTCGGTAAAAAAATTAATTTAAACGAAGTTTCGGTAATCTGAATATTTAATTACCGAACACTGTAAAAAAAAAAATACAATACGATCTGTAAAATGTGGTAAACGCCGAATTCGGTAAAAAAAATACCGAATACACTGTAAATGCCAAATCCGTTTACCGAACTTCGGTAAATTCAGACTGTCAAATCGTGGGACGGCTTTTTTTTACACATAACCGCAAGCTGAGAGAAGTGAGACCAGTGTAAAGTGTGTCAAGTGAAAGTTGTGTAATTTATATCATGGAACAGGTATGGAAACAAATACAAGACCAGGATGAACGCATCACTGAAATTTTCCGTAAGTAAACATTTATTCAATAAGTTCGATTATTTCCAGGAATTACCATCGATAGAGTGTTTTTTCTGCCACGATAAAGTTCTAGGTTATGTGCCTGGGTTGCATCGCCACATAAATAACCACCTTCAGAAGGGGCATTTTTCAGTGACAAATGTATTTTTTGATTGCACCTACCAAAAATGCAACTGCCGATATGCCAATTTCTATTCACTAAAGCGCCATATTATAGAAAAACATCCTGCTGGATCCGTCAGCATTGTGGCGGAAAAATGCCAGTTTACGGGATTCAGAGAGCGTTTTTCTATACCAGTTGCGCAATGCGATGACTCCTATCCAATATCTGAGGACCGGTGTGAGAAGCCAAATACTTTGGAAGAGATTAAAAACATAATAAATCTTAGTGTATGTCGTATGACATGCGATGTAGGACTACCTCAAATCAAAATCTCAGAATTTGTTAAACTATGTGACACAATAACCCAGCACATTACTGGTTACTTAGAACAGCGCACTCTGCAATTTCTTGAATCAAGAGGCATTCACCTGGAGTCTGAAAAAGAGGTAGAACTACGGAATATTTTTCACCTGGATGATTTGTTTAATGAAGTGAGCTCTTTCTCTAAACAATCTAAATTCCTCAACAAGCTAGCCGTAACCACACCAGCTCCTAAGAAAATATTGCTGAGCCGTCGAGAAGACGTTCGCCATGTAAATTCTGTTCCAAAAAAAGTACTGGTTAGCGAAACTTCTTCTTACATCAGTATTATAGACATATTGAAACTCATTTTCAGAGAGTCTACACAGCAAAAAAATAATTTTGATATCACATCAAAGTGGATGCACTACAATCATGTCGAAAATTTCATGTAATTTTTATGACCACATAAATAAACAAATGCAGTAAAAGCAGCGTAATGTCAGTTCATGCATTGTATTAATGATAATTTTGTCCTTTTTAGCAAGCTATATATTACACCATATTTTCGACATGATTGTAGTGCATCCACTTTGACGTGATATCAGAATTATTTTTTTGCTGTGTAGTACGAGACAACACTTGAAAGAGCTAAACATAACCAATACTCCTTGTATAACTGAATATAGCTCATTTAGAACTGGTGACACATTCAAAAACAGTAATTTCTATAAAGAAAACCCTGATGCGATCAGATTAAGTATATACCAAGATGATGTGGAGCTGGGTAATGCCCTAAGCTCAAGGGCTGGTATTAATAAAATTTCCAACATTTGCATTAAAATTCAAAATTTGCCTGATCAATACAACAGCTCACCACGAACGGTTTTCCCTGTACTACTTTGCACTACTCTAGATGCAAAACAACACGGTTATAGGAAAATCCTAGAACCATTGATCGAGGACTTAAAACTTTTGGAACAGGGCATTGTTGTCTACTATAGTAATGAACCGTTTTTACTCAAAGCAGTTGTCACTATGTTCTGTGGAGACACATTAGCCGTGCATGACGTTTTTGGACTATTGGGGCCAAGTGCAAACTATTTCTGCCGTGTATGCCAGGTATCAAGGAAAGAATTTCATGAAGACCCGTTTACTGAGCTTCCAATAAGGGATAAAGCTTGGTACGATACTAATTAAGAAGCAGTACGGAATGGATCTATAACCCCAAAAGATTGTGGACTAAAAGCTTCGGGTTGTATACTGAATGAGCTGATGCATTATCATATCACTGACAATTTCGCCATTGATGGTATGCATGACCTAGCTGAAGGAGTGATTCCATTGACCATCCAGTTGGTACTGTCCCGCTACTGCAAACAGAAAGACTTGAAAATCAACGTCGAATACATCAACAACCGGATTAACACGTTTACTTATGGCTTCACCGATCGAAAAAACAAACCTTCTGCCAATTTCACGAATGATATGATTACAAATCCTACCAAGCACAAGATGAGACAAACCGCAGCTCAAGCCCTTCTGCTTTTAAGAAGCTTTCCTTTCTTATTTGGTCACCTAGTCCCCAAAAACTGCCACTATATGCAGATGATTGGTCACCTCATCAATGTCGTGAGAATCATTTGGTCACCTATTGTTTCACAACATCTGCTATGTCAACTAGATGAGCACACCATTTTTTCCGAAAAGACCTTTTATGCTAACTTTAATAGGAAAATCAATAAACTTCACCATTTACAACATTATGTAACCTGTATTCTAAAAAGTGGTACAATGAAACAGTACAACTGCTTGCAATTTGAACAAGCCAACAAAGTCGGAAAAAACCAAGCTGCTACTTGCCGAAATTTTAGAAACATTTGTTTTAGTTTGGCAAAAAGGCAATGTTTCAAAATGATTGTCGGTTTGTTGGACAATCCTTTTTGTGACCAATTAACTTACAAATCGGGTCGATTTGTCAAACGTACAGAATGTTTAAGTGAGACATACTTGGATGAAAGCACGGAATTTGTTTTCGTCCCGAACACCGCAACATTGAATGGCATTGAATTTCGAAAAAAATCTGTGATTTCTTTAATAAAACACGAAAACTATATGTTTCCCACATATGGAATAGTTCGAGAAATTGTGGTCGTGAACAGCAAAGTAATGTTTTTATTGCGTATGTGCCATACAACATGGTATAATGACTTTTTTGAGGCATATGAGATTAACCAAACGGATAAGGATAAACTCATTCAGATGGAAGAATGTTTCACACACACTACATTTTCATTTTGGTCTCCGTATGGCAGTATGCAGAAATATATATCAAGAAGATTATACAATCAAGATTACTAATGGCAAATACCAAACCAAAAGTAATTACAATGTTACATGAAAAACTTGACATGCTCTAATTTTTTGTTTGTATTTAAACAGGGAGAGAAGAAATCGACGATATCGAAACGTTCATGGCACTCAATGAACAAGATTTCAAAAGACTCAGCATGACCACAAAAATGATCAAATTAATAATAAAAATTCAAGAACAACATCGCGCGAATTTTGAACCCGAAGAATGGATCGAAGAAGAAATTGTTTTAAACGCGTCCAGGAACGGTTACTTCATTCCAAAAACTGAACACGTGAACTCGACTAATCCATACATAGAAATTGACTTGGAGCAGGTTTGTATTTAAAGAAAAAGTAGTATGACAAATCTAAAAATGAATTTTAATTAATTTTCTGACAGATCGTTAACATCGATACCGTTTTCGGAAAAACCAACGAAGGATTGGCTATTATGGAAGTACTGAAAGAAAACTCACGACCAAACGAAATGATCATTAAAAAAATTACTATGCTCCTATGTGATTGCTTGCGATCACTATTTGGTTGGTAAGTATATATTAAAGCGTTGTAGAGTTTTCAAATGAAAAGAGCAGACACGAAATTATAGAATGAAGAGTTGCTTCATCTGGGGCAAAAATGTTCATGAACTTTGCTTTTATTTTCGATCGTAGCAAGCAAAATCCGGCCATAAGTTTTTGCAGACGTTCAATTTGTTTTAAAGGCATTCATAAAATTAAACTGTTGTTTAAAAATAAGAGCGGCGATAATATGTTGGAGTGAATTTGATAATCGTGCCGATTCCGCGCGGCAAGTGAGGCAAGAGTCACAATAGTCACATAATGAAGTGACAATAGTCACCTCGTATGACGTAGCTCTTCATTTGATTTGCACGGAAACGTGACGACACACGAGATTAACACTATTGTCAGTTTGATTTCATGGATGTTATAGGAGACATTTGAACATCTGCAAAAATGTATGACAGTAATAGCTTTTCTGTAGCTCCAATCGAAAATAAAAGCGAATTTTCAAAAACATTTTAAACCGATACGACAGCTCCCCATTTTACCACTTCGGGTCTGCTGGTTAGATGAACCAATCATAGCTATACGTTTCTACTATGGTATGTTTTAATCATGTCAAGTGGATATAAATAGGCAATAATTAAATCAAACTATAATTTGAACGTATAGCCATTACTGGTAGTCAAAAATTATCATCTTGTATGTATATTTATAGTCGACCAAGCAACTTTTACAAAAATCAGATTTCGACATCCCTTGTGCGAACGTATTCCAACCTGGCCACTAAAACTGGTGATGTTCCACAGGTAACGTATGAGCTATACTATGTTTGAGATCATGACGAGTAATATCCGGCTATTCATCTAGGCTCTTTGGTTCCATCCTCACGCAAGGGGAACTAATCGTCACGCCGGTCGCATCCATTACCACATGGAGTATCTGGCCAGAAAATCGGGCGCTGGCGATTGTAAGGGAGAAAAATCCATCCCGTGGATCCAGAAAAACCCAGCAGAATAGTGCATCGAGGAAAAACCCTCTTTAAGGGATTGTTGAATGGATTGAGGTACAGTATTGATATTATATCATGACACGTAAAATTCATCTAATAATGCAAATAATAACCTTTTTATAGGCCGAAGACAACTTTACGTATCAAAATACGGTGCTTCCTATTCTGTTCGTAAGAGGGCCATTTTTGGAAGACTCGGACGATTGCGCAATATGCTGGAAAAATCTGGCGATTCCAATTGGACGTGGAATGAGGGAAGCGTTTGAAATGTTGATCCAATCGTTCTTCGTTTTTGATACTGTACCGGCACCGTCAGACAAACAATTCTTCCTATTCTTCGGAGCAATGATTAGCGTTGAAACTTTGTCTACAACAAAACAAAATTTATGCACGCGTTGCAGTAAACTTGTATTTTGTAGTTGAGTAAATTTTTTAAAACGTATCCCAAAATCATTACAGGGCCATAATTTTAATGATGAATAAAAACATGAAATGGTAATGTAAAAGAGCACTTTAAATATAAACAATCCGGAAAAATTAAGAATTAAAAAACAAAACATTTATATTTTTAGTTTTACGGCACTATTCGGTAAAAAGCACCGAACCGTTCGTTAAAAAAAATACTGAATCGTTCGGTAAGAATCACCGAACTGTTCGGTAAAAATTCCCGAATCGTTCGGTAATTTTGACATTTCATAAAAAAAAGTGTTTACGGAACGTTCGGTAGTCATTTCGTTTACCGAACGGATTACCGAACGTTCAGCTGTTGAAAGTTCGGTAAAAAATTACCGAATACGGTAATAATTTCTAAGTGTGTACGCTCTTCGTAAATTAGGTTGGACTTTCATTTCCTCTTCCATCATATGAAGCACGCTGCATGCTTATAAACATACAAACATTAAAAGAGCGTCGTGAATATGCAATGGTTTCATTTGTAAATGATATCGTTTCGCAGCGAATTGACTCAACAGAACTTTTATCAAAATTAAATTTCCATGCACCCACTCGGCAACTCCGAAATCGAAATTTATTTGCCATAAAACATCATCGCACAAATTATGCAAAATATGGGCCATTAAACCGCATGATGGCCTCTTACAATAAACACTGCGAAACCATTGACTTTACAATGTCTCGGCATAAACTAAAGCAATATTTTTATTGCATAAGAAATAACAACTCATAATAGAAAAGACAAGAAAGCTGACACTACTTTTTTTTATATAAATATATATTTAAGAAAACAAAACTGTATTAGTTGTACTAGTCTACGTTGGTTGACGAAATAAATAAATAAATAAATACGCTTGACGATATTTTTTGAAGAATTTTCCTCTAAGAGTTATGTCTGTTTGTATGTGGTAATAGCTAAGATGAAAAAAATATAGTAGCTTCAGTGTCAATTATAGGATTAATTGTGAAATAATTACACTATTAAACATGGCACTGCACTGTTGTTGGTCCTCATGGTTTTTTTTATAACGCGCATAGAAATTATCACGTCCGGCTGCATTTATGCACTGTGTGAGAGTGCTAATACGAGGAAAATCGAGGAGAGCGTCACATCTGAATCTCAGTTCTAGATGCTCGAAAAATCTTACACTTACATGCATCTTTTTGCAGGAAATCTACTCAGTGTGCGTGCAGCTATTTTCAGGAAATCAAAATCTTTCCTGCATCGTAGAGTCACCCCCCTCGAGGAAAATATATGTACATCAATTTCAAATAAGTACCCTAGAAAAATAACAAACATCTTTACCTTTACACTCCGATACGCCCGTAACTGTGCGTGCGTCAAATCTCAATGCAATAATGTTTAAAATAAACGGAATGCAATCCTATCATTTGGATAATTAAATATTAATTAAATCGACTCACAATCAAACAAAACCCTCGCAAACAAATGATCCGTTCGACGCCATTTAGTGATGCAACTGTCAGGGCAGCACCCCAAGCAGTAGACATGGATCTTCTTGAAAAGCAACTTGAAGCCATCGAATTCTGGAACGGTTATGAGCAATTGATAAGCGATGTCTGTACGTACGTCAAGATTTCAATTGAAATCCAAAATGCTTAATAGTTTACCAATTCCAGTAACCACCTACATCGCTGGTATCTGGACTATCTGCACTGTATCCAGGAAAATCGGCAATATCTCCGGAAGTGTGAAGGCATTTTCAGTTTTGCCATACATGTCGATACGATTGGACCTCGACGCCGAGGAGTACAATTCAACAAACAATCCTCTGGCGGCGGGAATCGAATCCGGTTGCAGTACTTTCGTTGTGCATGAAAGCGCAGCGTTAGATTTCTTAGACGTTTTTGTCCAATATCACGATGAAGCTGGCTACAGAAATCCCATCAAATATGTACTTGTGCTGGTGGATGATGCCCAACCCGGTGATTTTCTCGACTCCGTGGAAGAGCATACCAGTCTGTCAGAAATCCTGAATTTGTTAATTTTTCGATCAATGTTTGAGATGGCTACGGTTGATTTGCTGACCAACAGCTTTGTTGGTAGTGTGGAGCATGCTTCTGAGTTGTACCTTCTTGATCGCTACCGCGTCGGAGACGGGTCGTTCGAATACAAGAACTGGCTGTTCCCCGATAAAACGATCGATTTGCACGGAAAGTCGATCCGAGTGGCTACATTCTACATCAATCCACACATGTTGATCAAAGAGGCCAAGAATCGAACTTTCTCAATGGATGGCCTTGACGGTTTCATTCTGGTGGAGTTTTGCAGGAAGCGTAACTGTACGATTGAGTTGATCAAAGGTAAAATTCTTTTGAAATTGATATTGAGTGAATTTCTTACAACGAATGCTCACCCACAGATGAGGCCATGTGGGGTGACATCCAACCGAATAGGACTGGAAATGGAATTTTGGGAAATTTGGTGGAACGACGGGCTGATGTTGGTGTTGGAGCATTAAGTAGCTGGTATCATTGTTATCAGTATTTGACCTTCTCCACGCCTATCCAACTCGGAATTGTTACTTGCCTTGCACCGAAGCCCAAGTGAGTAGAATTTTCAAAGGTCTCTCAAAAACCAATTTAACTGAAATTCAATTGCTCTTCAGCCTTCTCCCGCGTTGGACTATGCTTACAATGGGATTCTCGACATCCGTTTACCTGACCATCTTTGGCACGTACTGTAGTGTTGTGTCGATTTACATGTTGATAGCACACTTCATGATGCGCAAAATCCAGAAGAGAAGCGTCGCCTGGAATATACTCAATGTGCATGCCATCTTCCTCCTGCAGGCAACCAACGTTCGCAATCGATCGGCATCGGAAGCCATCTTATCATTGACACTGTTGCTGTTTTGTCTGAACCTGGGTAGCATCTATTCCGGAAAATATGCCAGCCTACTAACCGTACCTATGTACGAACCCACTATCGACTCAATGGTTGATTTGTCTGAAAGTGGAATCCCTTGGCTGCAGGCTCACGAGGCGTGGTCTTTCTCTTTGGTTCTATCGAAAAATGTATGTCGTATCAAAAATTTCTTATAGCTTTCAAATAATCCAATCATTAATCGCGACAGCCCACAACAGTGAAATTGGTCTCCAATTTTCGGGTTTACCCTCCATCGGAGCTCCACCGAATCGCCGATGACGGTGGATCCGCCTTTGCCATGGGAAGACTACACAATGGCCATCTGATGCTTGGCAATTGGATCACGGCGGACAATATCCACAAGTACCGACTGATGAAGGAAGAGTTGTACTACGAACACGAGGTTGCGATGGGCACCAAGACGTGGCCGCTGATGGAGGCGTTCAATGAAATTATAGGCCAGATGGCCAGTGCACAGCTTTTGATGGCTCAGGAGCTTCGGATAATTTATCAGTACAATGATTATTACGTTCAAACGGTTGCCTTAAATTCTCATAAACAAACGGCGATAGCACCGAAGGTGCTGGGTCTGGAAGATATTCTGAGAGGGTTATTTGTTCTTGGGCTTGGACTGCTGTGTGCTGGGGCCATGTTTGTATTGGAAAGCATGCATGTGCGGAAGTCACATGCTGATCAGATCAGGTTTTCAAACGGTCTGTAGAAAAGATACACACTTGTTATTTTGATTGAATAAAAGATAAATTCAATAGAAAAATAGTTGTACTGGCAAGTGTCTCCACTAGTGCCCACGTGCGGAAAATATTTATCTTTCCCATGTGGTATGGTGCTTCACTGTGTTGGCTCGGTGCTCGGTTTGTCGTGATGTTTGCCTAGCATTCCCAGCAGAACATCAAAAATTCATATAAACAACAAAAATATTTCAAAACAATATTGATCTGCACAAACTTAAACAGAAAATTTTCCCCGACGAGTATGGTATGACATTTACACAAGGGTTGCAGAAAATAAGGTTTGTTAAATAGATACAAGAAATATCGTTCACCGTTAAATTGTTTGCTTTGACCTTAGCGGTGAATCAATAGACTAACTTGTTCAGGTCACTTTTTATATATAAAAAGGACTCTAGCTCTAGAAAAAGTGTTTTTATTACTTTCATACTTGTAACGATAGGTGATAATCGAACTGTACGATTTAAAATGGAAGCGCTAGTGCAATCTTCTCTGGAAGTGCATGCAGTGGTTGGATATGAGCAGCTGCTAGCCGAGATATGTAAGTATTATAGTAACCACTAAAGTGAGCTTGTATCGAGTGATAAAAGCAGCAGCAGAGTAATGAAAGTCCTCCCTTACGAAGTGAACAGCTCGACCGACTAAAAAGATGTTCACTAGATACGCTCAGTTGCTTGACATTCCTGAAATGTCTCAACTTTTTGAAAAAAAAAACCTTATAATTCCCTAACAGTTTCTGATGGTCCTTGAATTATTCTTGTACTCCCTCCAAACTTCTCTGAAGTTCCCTGCGCTAGTTTGAACCTTGTTACTTATCAAGATGCTTCTTAAACTTCGCTAACATTCAAAGTGTTTTTATGTTACTTAATACGCGAAGTTTGCGATTTTCAGAGTTGGTTGGAAATACTATCTAACATGAAGCTTTAGTGTGATAATTTATTTGCTAGAGAATGATCTTAGAGAAGGGTAGGTAGATAGTTCCGTTAGAGTTCGGCAGTATGAAAATTGAATAGAAGTTGAAAATGCGTACATCGTACGGGTTAAGCAAAGAGTATGCGTTTGACTTGCACTGTCACTTGGATGGCCCTTCGCTCATTTTCAACTTCTATTCAATTTTCATACTGCCGTACTCTAACGGAGCTATCTACCTACCCTCTTCTAAGATCATTCTCTAGCTAATAAATTATCACACTAAAGCTTCATGTTAGATAGCATTTCCAACCAACTCTTCTCTAAAATCTTAAAAATCTGGATTAGTGCTGCAAAATTTCGACAATACACGATGATATTGACAATTCAACTTTGGTCACTCATTTGAGCTAACAGTAATTGTCAAGGCAAACCATGTCAATTGTCAATGACAATGCTGTCAGTGACGAACATATGTAGAATTTTTATTAACTGAATTTGTAACGAAATTAAATAGCTTGAGCAACACAATTACATGGAGCCGTTAAAGTGAACAAGCATCTACGTCCTGCACTGCTTGGATAGCAATAATGTGACACAGAATGCACGAAATTACACTTTTTGTTACCAGGTGAATCTTTGCAATTGACGAAAAAATGAATGAGATTTTGACGAAGGTTTTTTTGAGGATCAAGTCTGTCAGTGACTATGTGAAAAACAATTTTGTCAATATCATGCGAAAGTCTGTCAATGACAATGACAAATCTCAGCACTGGTCTGGATCCATTTCTTGGCCTTGGCCTTCATGACGCGCCATATTGAATAATCCAGCGGATTAAGATCGGGGCTGGATGGCGGCCACATATCCTTCGCCCAGAACGGAAGATGTTCCTGCAACCACTTCTGAGTGCGGTGCGGCATTTGGCTTCAGCCCGTACTGTTCTTTGGCGAAAGTCTCGTTAATAAAGAAAACTAAACTAAACTAAACTGTTATTTGATCCACGGAAGAACATACTTACTTAAAATCCCGATGTAGACCTCCATGTTGACCTTGTCGCCTTCTGGAATGAACATCGGGTCCATTTTTTGGCCATCGGAAGCCACCAATCCAAACACCATAACGCTAGCAGGATGCTAGATACACGTTCTTATTATTATTATTATTTAGCTTTATTTAGGAGGCTTTCAGCCTTAGGCTGGTTCGCCTCCACTACACGTTCTTGTGCTCGTCGGCCACGTCTTATACCGGAAGAGAACTAATATACCGATCGGTTCTGGAATTTGATACGGGATCGACGGAAAACATGCTGAACAGGATTACCGGATTTTTTCGCTTAAGGAAGTTCAAGATTTTCTTGCATCGTTCGGCTCGTAGCTCCCGGATACGGTTGGTAATCATGTGAGTTTTTTTTCCGTGCCCTCGACTTCGCCCCGAAATCTTCCGTGCCGTAAAGTGTTCCTTTGCCATTTTCCTTATTGAACGCACTGGATTCACCCGAATCTTCCTTTTGATAGCAGCGATAACCCTCGGAACCCGAGCTGACCTCGGACAACCTGTGGCCACCTTCACGGATAGTTGTCCTTTCTTTTCTCGGTCTAAAACCCTTTTGACGGTCTATCAGGACACTCCCACGGCGATTGAAATGTCTTTTTGCGACATTTGCGCGTGGGACAAATCACGAATACGCTGCCACTCTGTCATGGTTAGGGTTACCATATCAAAAACTTGAAAAGAAGGACATTTCATTTGACGTTTGGTGATTAAGGAGGACAATGATTACTTTTCTTAACATTAAAGGAGGACAATGAGTTTTTATCAAACGTTTTAATAAAATGTGCGCTATTACAAAATTCATGATTTGCGAGGGTTCAATTGATATTGTTCACAACTTGTGGTCGTTATCAATTCAATTCATCTTCTTTTTGTACTTCTGAAAAATGCATCAAACTAGCCTTCACAATTCATGTTTGATACTTGGAAATGATCTAGTCCAGCTGATTTGAATAAAAAAAAATGCAGCTTTACAGTCTTAAAGCCATCCCAAATTTTATCATGTACAAAAATCAGTATATATGTCATCGCTGATTGAAACCAACATGGAACATCTAAACAACCTGTTAATTTTACCATTGATTCAGCATAGGACTTTAATACCCCGTACAGACTATGGATTATATAATGTAATATAGGCTGTCTTGCAATGAGCACTCATACATAGGATTTCCAGTGAAAACTAAATGTATGAGTGCTCATTTCAAGACAGCCTATAGCTATAGCTTAGCGTTATATACAAAATAATTCCTATTATTGATATCATTCCTTACATTCGACTTCACGCTTCACGTGCCTCTTCGCTCTCAGTATGGCAGTGGCAAATATTATAAATTAACGGCGCCGGTGGTGTAGTGGTAAGCGTGATTATCTCTTACCCCAGCAGGCCTGGTTTCAATCCCAGTCGGCATCCCGGCTGATTAAATTTTACTCAACAGTGAGTTGTTTTTGATGGCCTTGTTACGATCAATTTACAGTGTACTAGTCACCTTTCGCGTCACTAGAGCTGCTAGTATCGGGAAAAATCGTGTCTTGGGGATAATAGAAGAGTGAACCATATTGTTAATTAATAATATTTTTTTTTTTCCTTTGGTTTGTTTTTTTCCGTCGATCTTGTTTTCCGTGCTGAGCACCAATGCTACCGACGTGCCAGGAAGGCAGCTCCCACACCTGGACCCTACCTATCGACCCATCAACTCATGAACCGGGGACCAATGGCTTTTCTTCCCTTCCGAAGGAAGGCGTGATCAGAGATGTTATGCCTCAGAACATCCCGGCGGCGCCGACTGGGATTGACCTTTTTCGTTTTTGTTTTGAGTTATGAAGGTTTTGACGTATGATAGAGAAAGCTAGTAAATAGAGAAACATGTAAAAAAAGCCTATTTACCAAATGTAAACAATGACTTTGAACGATTTCTCATGAGAATTGACTCAATCTGGCAAACTGACACCAACATCTGAGAGATAACTTACTCTATCAGATGATATAGTTAGTTTGAGTGGGCATGTTGCAATTCGGGAACAACCAACGTTTAAATGCATTGCATACATTTGGCTTGTACGCCTTTGCACATGTTGCTGCATGGAGAACGAGGTACCCAACACGCTAACTTGAAAGTACCCATTTATAAGTAAAAAAAGGTCAATTTTGAAGAAAAGTGACTAAACTAGTAACAGATACTCATTAATGGGTAAAAATTGCTAATTTAACGTTAAGTCACTTATCTTTAAAATTTATATTGTTCACCCAATAATGGGTACTTTAAAGTTAGTTAAAAATTGAGTTCACTTTCACTCATCATGTGGCTTTCATGAGGCTAGCTAAAATTAAATAAATTATGAAAACTAAATTTTGAGAAATCCTCATCAATAATCCATTCAGTGAAAATTACCTAACCATCAATTGAATGCAATTGGTGTTCACAGCGACTCTGTAGCTCTTTACTCCTATGTTAAAATCCATAAGTAAACTTCAGACTGTGCGTGAAACATGGCGGACCTCGTGATAGTACGAATAGTACCGGTGGAAACTAACGATTTTAAATTGATTCACTACTTGAATTGCCTATTGGTCCCAAGCAAATCGATTAACGTACCCTATTCTTGTCGAAATTCTAGTACTACACTATTTCTTCTTTCCTTTATTTAACGTCGGTCTCTGTTACGCAATCTAGTGCCAATCACCGACGGACATCGATTGCCATCCATTGACGGCAATCGAATGTGCAGGAAGGCAGCTTCCACACCTGCATAGGATATCACACCCATCCAACACACATGGGCCGGGACCAACGGCTTTACTTCCCTTCCGAAGGAAGACGTGACCAGAGATTTTTATGCCGCAGAAAAATCCCACCGACCTCGGCTGGGATTGAACCCAGACCCATCGGGGTGTTAGAAAGCAGTCACGCTTACCACTACACCACTGGCGCCGGCTAGTACTACACTATGTTTGTTTTGATTCTGTATGGAAGTTTGACAGATAAAATGAGGGGTTCGTGGATTTTCCTATGTTTCGAGGAGTGCATCGATTAGCTTGGGACCGAAGATAGTACCAGAACTGAGCCAAAAAGTTGAGCACATTTTATCGGGACCTCCTGGTCTAAGAGTTACCTCTATGGTACTATCCTTTCACTTCACTGAAAAATCCCTTAAGAAACTGTCAATCATTTCTAGAAGAGACCATTTTTCGACGGTGCCGTCAACGCCAATAAAGGAGAACGAACGAAGGCGATGAAGCACACAAAAATGACAGTTTAAAAGGCAGCGCAGGTTGCTATGATTTTCATCCAAAAATAAGTTAAAATTTCCCAATGGTGAAAACATGACGGTTGAGTACTTATAACTTAAAATCGAATTCATTTTAATTTTTTTTGTTTTTGAGGTTTTTTTTTAAACTCAAGTGTTTTTGAGTGTTTTTTTCTTACCGTGTTTGTTAATCTATTGCCCAAAATTGGGTTAACGATTATTACCGTGTTGAAAGTTTTCCTCCTGTCAGTTGCCAATGTGGTATGTAAAGAGGGATGGCAGATATAATTTGCATTTTCTTTTGATTGTTTGGATTACCTCTAAGCTTATTG